GATGGATGATTTTGGGATCACAATGGTCGTGCAGGTAAGACAAGCCTCTTGCTGATCCCAAAGCAATGCGCTTTCGGGTAGGCCAATCAAGTGATGGCTCCCCTGGATTTCGTTCTGAAACAACACAAGTGTTAGAAAGTGAGGAAGAAAATGAAAGAATAAAAAAACTCACTCACCTCTTAGCCGAGATGCTACACTTCCATTCGCCATATATGGATATACGAGTAAGCGTTCGGTGGGAGTCATGCAGAAACCTCGTAGGCGAAGAAGGTTTCGATGAACAGCCATACTGATCATTTCCACTTCTGTTTGAAATTGCAGCTCTCCACCCGGACTGCGTTCTTCTTTAAGCCTTTTAACGGCTACTAGTGAGCCATCCGACAATCTCCCCTTGTACACTTTGCCAAAACCACCTCTCCCAAGGATGTTTTTGTTACTAAAACCATCGGTAGCCACTTGCAGTTCTCGCAGAGAGAATCTTTTTAGTTGTCCTAAATGAACTTCGGGGTCTTCTTCAGCTGGTCATTAGAACGGTACAAAGGGTAAGAACAAACAAATAGCACCCAATAAACTTACCAGGAACGTCAAAGTAAGCTTCCGGTGGCCTCCGTCTTCTCCACCAAGCAAATCCAATGGCCGGAGCAGCAAAAAGAAGAGCAGCGCCAGCAGCAACTCCACCAGCAATAGCTCCAGTGTTTGACGAGCTTGATGACTGTGTTCTCCCTAAGAAGAATTTTAAGTTCTTAAGTTAGAAAAAATTGAAGTTCCAAAGCTAAGACATTGCAGTACCATTGTTTGCTCCAGATGGCGGTGCTAAATATTGAGGTGCAGGAGTCAAAGGTGGGCCGTTGGGACATCGTTTATTGACTGCTTGTCCACAAAGATCTCTATTATTGTTGAAACTGAAGACATTCTGGTTAGTTATAGGACAAAGAATGCTGTTGCTTCATATCTACCTGATAGGAGTGAACAGGGAGAAGGATCCATTCGTAGGAACTGGCCCAGATAGATCATTGTTAGAAAGATCACTGCAAAAGTGTCAATAAGTTAAACGTCAAAAAGAACAGGCAGACCAAGCGTTACTCACAGTACTTGCAAGCCGTTTATATTTGTAAGCGACATGGGAATACTCCCAGACAGAGAATTGTTGTTGAGACGACTGCATAAGATCCTGCGTGAGACGATAAGCGTGCGAAAAGTGCTAGCTTACAGGAATCTAAGCTTAGTCAGACGCCCAATTGTATCTGGTATCGAAGATGTAAAATTGTTCTGGTACAAATCTAGGCTCACCAGGTTGGATAAGTTGCCTAGCTCAGGTGGAATTTCTCCAGTGATGTTATTACTGTACAGTTCCCTGCAAATCAAAGACAAAACCAAGCAAGTGCTTTTAGTTGGTACTTTGATCTTTTGATTAGAACTCACAAGTACTGTAAGTGGCTTAGACGACCAAGTGATGGAACTAGCGTTCCCGACAGAGCTGCATTACCGAGATCTCTGAAAAGAGCCAAAAGAGCGTCAGTCTAAAAGCCCACCACCACTGTTCTTCTGGTCAAAACTTACACTCTAGTGACGAAATTATCATTGTCGCAAGTAACATGGAACCAAGTACAGGGATTCACCAGCGTCGAGTCCCAGCTCTGGAGAACACTGCTCGGGTCCGTGAGCGAGGTCTTCAAATCGTGGAGAGCATCACCTGGAAGCAAGAAATTTCGCCTCTATAGCCTCGGACTCGCGAACAAAGGAATCTCAATACCTTCGGCGTTGCCATAGACGCGAATCACGGCGCGGAGCAGCAGCGCCAGCACCAAGATCCCGATATTTGCCATCGCCCCGGCTCGCCGTGGCCGCACAGCAATCAGATCCACCGCCGCCCCGTCGCCGCTACGGCATTTCGAGACCTCGGCAAATCACCTGGTAGCGAGCGCCAGCGATCGCCAGGGCGCGATCAAAATACCGCGCCGCGAGCTCGAATTGTGTCTAGAACCGCGCTGCCGCCTCGCATTGCTCCATCCTGGCGCATCGACGGCCCCGCATTCCTCCCAAAACCCAACCCTCAATCGCGGAATCCACTGTACAGTCACTTGGACGGGCTGTCACACGTCCGCCTATGTCAGCCGTTGGATCTGCCACGTCTGCGCGATGCCGATGGCATCGGAGGAATTTTCTTTTCACTCCCGGTCAAAGCTTCGACAAACTGGCGGGTACATTTGGAAATTTATTCAGAGTCACCACGCATGTGAAAATTGACCGGCGATTTCCACTGGCGAGATGTCGACCGTCCACGTGGCCGCCATCGCACAAGCGCTATATGTACATACGGATAGATGCCCCCGGCATATTGTATTATGCGGCGTATCGCTGGTGAGCTAGCATTCGTTTCGTCCGGGGGCTCTCGCTGCTGTGGCTTTGCGCTTGGAGCTCTCTCGAGAGGCTCTGGACGAGCCTCTTTTGCGTCTGGCTCTCGATGAGCTTGGACAATCCCATCTCCTTCACTGCTCTCCAGCTCTGCGAGAGAGATCAAACAAATCTTTTTAGAAACTTTGGCAGGAAACGAAGAACCAAAAAGAGTGTTTTTGTACATCTGGAAGCTGGAAGTTCTCGGCCTCTAGCAAGTGAACGACGTGTCCCATTGTTGGTCGCTTGCGTACGTCCGGATGGACGCACTGGAACGCTGTGATGAGCGCCTTCTTTAGAGCTCTAGGCGATGGCTTCTCTTCGAGCCTGGGATCGGCAATATCGTCCATGCGTCTCGTAGCGAGCATGAGCTTCAGCCAATCCACTAGATTAACCTGTTGAGAAGTTCGCTAGAGCTAAAGCATGGTTTTTTTTTTCAAGAGTAAAGAGCTAACCTCCCCAGGTGGTCTTGAGTAATCAACGGGATCTCGTCCAGTGACAACTTCCATGAGAAGGACGCCAAAGCTGTAAACGTCGCTCCGTTCGTTGAGGAGTCCCGTGTTCGCGTACTCGGGAGCAACATATCTGCCAAAAAAAAATATATGTCGGCTTCACAAACTTAAAAACAGCATCTGCAATGCGCGTACCCAAAAGTACCCATGACTCTAGTCATCACGTGTGTTTTCTCGCAACCAAGGAACTTAGCAAGGCCAAAATCGGAGACTTTGGCGTTCCAGTGACTATCGAGGAGAATGTTACTCGCTTTTATGTCTCTGTGAACGATCTTCGGTTCTATAGCTTCGTGCATGTAGGCCAGTCTAGTTAACAGCGGTGAGAAAGAAAACGTTAGTTGTTTGCTTCGATAAAAACAAGAGCAAGAGCGCGCACCCTTTCGCTGTTCCAAGGATGATTTTCATGCGTGAATCCCAGCTAGGTGTTTTAAACCGAGAAGTTTTGCCGTGAAGCCACTCGTCCAAGTTACCATTGTTGACATATTCATAAACCAATATTCTGCGTGTCAAGGCATGAGAAAGAATCCGATGAGGAAAAAACTTCACCTGTGATCGCCTTCCGCACAGAAACCGAGCAACTTCACGAGATTCTTGTGCCGCACTCGACCGATTGTCTCAACTTCGACGAGGAATTCTTTCTCCGCTTGATCTCTGAAAAGAGGATTTTAGTGGTGAGCTGCTTTGAAAGGAAAAGAAATGGTTCCTTACTTGTTGGTGAGGTACTTGCAAGCCACCATCGTTCCATCTGAGACGGCTCCCTTGTAAACTATACCATAGCCACCTTCACCAATTATGTTTCTCTCCGAGAATCCACCAGTGGCGATCTCAAGTTCCTCCAAACAGTACCAATTGCCCCAACCGAGATATGACGAAACTTGCTGCTGGGGAGTGAACGAGACTGTCGTTCCTGAATTGCTCTCACTGTCCTGGGACACAGCCATCTCGGTGTCTGTCACTGGCGGGGAGTAATCTAAGCTGCTGCTCTCCACCACATCCCCGTGCTTGAAAATCCTGAAACTGCTCGAATTCCTCCGGACAGAGTACTCAAACGTATCGAAGCTCGGAGGTCTGCGAGAAATTCTCGCGCTCGGTTCTGTCCTGACTTCCGGGATGTCTTTCGGAGTGCTGGGTATGTCGTGCACGCTTCTAGACTTCCCCTTCCTGGATTTTCTCCTCCAACGTATAGGCCACACCGCTAGAAAGAATAATGAAACCATAAGACCTCTTGCCTCGTCAAGTGTTGTTCCAGATTTCGGAGCACTGCGTGTAGACTCCGAGGCCATCTTCTTCCAGGCTCACCATGCTGCTGCTACTGCTGGGGGGATTGTTCTCTGTCAAGCCTGTCGAGTAAACAAAGAGACAAAACCACCTGAGAGACCGGATTTTCAAAGAAAAACAAAGCACGCAGGAAAAGCTCGCTGCTAAAAAGGCGCATACTTCCGGCCAACATTGAAAAGCATTAAAGCCTTGCAGGGAGCGAGTCAGAGGACCAAAATAACATACCTGGCAAGAGCTCTTCAAACTGTTGGTGGCGATGGCGAGGAAGAGGAGGAGGAGAGCAGGGCATTGGAATGCTTCGCTCTCGCCCCTTACTTCCATTCTTAAAACCATAACCAAGCGAGGAGGAGGAGCTACCTTCGCTACCTTCTTCTTGGATGGTGTTTGCTCGCGACAATGACATCCAGCCTGACTAGAAAGGAACGTAAGCTGCTGCTTCCATCGCATCCAAATCCATGACAAAGACCTGCTAAAAACACCCACACGGTCCATGGAAAAGTTTAGTCGAAACAACAAAGGCGCACCAGTTAACCGACAAAAAGAAGGCTCTCCAGTCGTCTCGAGCATCATGGAGGGATTTGAGTGTAAGGAAAGAAGCCAAGTAGCTACCAAAAAGAAAGAGAGAGAAAACAAATGTGTGAAGCGCGATAGAATCTAGAAAGGGAGCTCAACAATCAAGCAATGCTGGTGTGCTTTCAAGTCTAGCGCAAGAAAGAACAGTATACCAACCAGGAGGAAACTTTCCACAAGAACAGTGGACTAGATTATATCAAAGGAATTCTTTAGACTTACCTTGGAATGGACGATGTTGAGAGGTGATCGATCGGGGCGGCCCCATCGCCCTCGCACCGAACGATTCGCGCCATGGATCTGAGCAGCGCGCCGCTCTAAATTGCGGAAAGGATAACGGATCTCTCCTCGCATTCAATGCGCGGGCGATGAGGAAAAAGTATTTTAGGGTTCTTGGGAGATTTAGCCCATGGGCAGCTGGCACTGGCGATGGCGAAGCGCCAGCTTCAGTGGCAGTGGCGCTGGCAGCGGCGGCAAGGATCTGAGGAGAATGCGCAGCGAGATTGGCAGATTTATGCACAGGAAGAGCTTGGTGAGAGCGATGTTTGCCGTGGGCGTGGCCTGGGCGCTGTTCGTGCTTGTGATTTGGGGAATGCTGCTGGTCGCTTGTGGATCTGTGTCGATCACGGTGGAATCTGCCGGTATGAGCTCACGCACGGAGTTTTTCCGGTGATTTTTATTTGGTTTTGCATTGTCTCAGGCCAATGCAAGAAGAAGAGCCAGACTTTCCAGTTTTTGGACGCGTGGGGATTCATTCCAAAGCCAATTCACCGTAAGAATCGATGCACATTCATCGTAGTTTCTTCGTCCTTGATTCTTGACAGAACTTCTTCGGTTTCTTTTTTTTCTTTTTTTCACGCAGGATGCTCTATACCGGTTGCTAGAAATCCACAGTTCGTGCAAATTCCATCGTTCCGGCATGACAGTTCTATACTCCGAAAGCTCACATACATCACAAACGATAGAGTTGCCGAGGCTGATCAAAGCAAGCGTCCACTATTTGGCGGCTATCAGACATGGAAGGAGAGAGACGAGAGTTTTAAGATCAAACCAGCAATGCAGGTGAGTGAGCTCTTCTACTGCTTCGATTCCGTTTTTTGATGCATTTTTGCGTGGTAGTGCTTGATAGAATCGTCCTGTCTCTTTGGAAACTTTGTAGGTTCATTGTGGATTCATGAATAATTCTGGGGGTGACATTCATCCACGGGACAAGACATATCTCAAGAGGTGTGAATTTGTGGTTGCCTCAGGAATTTTTGACGGCTACGACATGCCTCACCAGCCTTCCAACCTGAGCGACGCCTCTCGATCGCTCTTTTGCTTCGCCATGGTGGTGGACGAGATCTCTCTGGACAGCATCAAGGCCGAGGGCTTGCTCACCGAGGACGACAAAGGAGGGAGGTGGTCAGGCATCTGGCGGCTAGTTCTTCTCAAGAACTTGCCGTATGACGAGCCTCGCCGGAACGGCAAGGTACCCAAGCTCCTCACTCACAGGATCTTTCCAGCGGCGAAGTATAGCATCTGGATCGATGGAAAGATGGAGCTGGTCGTGGACCCAATTCTCATACTTGAGAGGTTTGGAACCTCCAGCGTCTCTCTCACTCTTGTTTCTAACTCGTTTGTTCGTTCGTTGCATAGATATCTCTGGCGAGGCGGGCATAAGTTCGCCATCGCTCGACACAAACACCACAAGAGCATTTACGAAGAGGCCGATGCCAACAAGCGGAGGAAGAGATACGCGAGGCCGCTGATAGACAAACACATGGAGATCTACAAGCGCGAAGGCATGCAACCATGGAGCAAAGCCAAGCTCCCAGTTCTTAGCGGTAAGTCAGCTCCAATTCTTCCAACGTTCCTCGGAGCAAAGTTCGATTTTTCCAGATGTTCCAGAGGGAGCAGTGATCATCCGCGAGCACACTCCACTCACGAACTTGTTCTGCTGCCTGTGGTTCAACGAGGTGAACCGATTCACGCCGCGCGACCAGCTGAGCTTCGGCTACGTTGTCCACCGATTGAACGGCTCCTTCCCCTTGTTCATGTTCCCAAACTGCGAGTACAACGCGCTCTTCGTCCTCCACAAGCACACGCGCGAGCACTCGTCCAAGGTGGAATGGGTGAAGACGCTGGACGAGCTCAAGGACGAGAGCATCGCGTTCGAGACGAGGGCCGGGCTGGGCTTGCTCGGGGATCGTTGACCGCCCGTTGGCCGACCGTTAATCGCAGCCGGAATCCAACGGCTGCGATAACCATATAAAATCGTCTAGGGGGGGATTTCTAGGGTTCTAACACAAAATGGAAGAGGAGGTAAATGACGCTCGTGACAGGAGAGAGAGAGTGATGAGAGATCCATTCTTTCTGTCAGAGCTAGATGTCATAGTACAAAAGCCTAGATCACGCGTGTTGGATGGAGGAGCGAGGCTAGCGCTTGAAAATGTGCCCAGGTCTAGGCATATGCAAACGGATTCACAGTACATCACACGAGTTCTTCGGATGGCAGCAGCACGCCAGTGCTCAATCTTTCCGTAATATCCAGTCCAAGCGCTTCCGGGGAGGTTTCTAGCAGCTCTGGGGCGAGCGCGATCGAGGATTCAACCGATTCAGAAGATTCCAGTGAAGACTCTAGCGATTCCGGCACTGTACTATCGACTCAGGGCAGCGATCCGGGCTCGTCCAGTGCCACGCCTTGGATTTCAGGGTATCCGCCGACGGTCGCGAGCTCAAGCGGCGAAGATCCGGACTCCTCCAGCGTAATCTCAGCTCTACGCTCTCGCGGGGAGGAGCCGATGGCGATATCGATTCCAAGGTCTTCCGGGGAGGGTCCTAGCAGCTCCGGCGCCGTAACATCGAAAGGTTTAGGCTCGTCACCGAGCGCCAAAATATCGTCTCCAGGCGATCCGAGCTCGTCCAGTGCCACTGCAAGCGGTGTTCTTCCAGGTCCGCGCTCATCGAGCACCGCCTCGATTCCAGAGGATCCGAGCTCATCCAGCGCCGTAATATCGTCTCCAGGGAAGGATCCGAGCTCGTCCGCCGCAGCAAGCTTCCATCTTCCAGGTCCGAGCTCATCGAGCGGGGCAGCCTCGATTCCAGAGGATCCGAGCTCATCCAGCGCCATAATATCGTCTCTAGGCATGGATCGGAGCTCGTCCGTTGCCACAGCACCAGGTCCGAGCTCATCGAGCGCCGCAACCGCGATTCCGAAGGATCCAAGCTCATCCAGCGCGTCTCCAGGCAAGGATCCGAGCTCGTCCATTGCCGCAAGCTATGGTCTTCCGGGTCCGAGCTCATCGAACGCCGCAGCCTCGTATCCAAAGGATCCAAGCTCATCCAGCGCTATAATATCGTCTCCAGGCAAGGATCCGAGCTCGTCCATTGCCGCAGCAATTCCTGGTCCCAGTTCATCCAGCGGCAATCTTCCAGGGAGCGCCTCGACTCCAAGCTCATCCAACGCCATAATAAATCTTCCAGGCCTGAGCGCCGCAACCTCGCCTCCAGGTTAGGATCCGAGCTCGTTCCAAGCTCTAATCATGACATCTTCCAGGTCTGAGCTTATCCAGGGCCGCAACCTCCGATCCAAGTTCATCTAGCTCCTCTCCAGGTAACGAACCTAGCCCACAGCAAGCTCTAATCGTGAGCTTTCCAGGTCCGAGCTCCTCTCCCACAGCAAGCTTTGGTCTTCCCTCATGGAGCGCTACGTCGACTCCAAAGGCGAGTTCATCATCAAGCGGCTGGGATATCGAGCGGAGCTCCTCCAGCGCGATTCCAAGCTCCTCCGGCACGGCTACTCCAAGTAGCATCATCCCGGGTGGATTCGGCCATGGTCCGTCACGCCCTGGCCCGATCGCGAACGGCGCCAAAGGCAACTGGATACTGATCGCCAGCAAATCATCCACCGGCGTTTCCAGGATCACCACCCGCGTCGCCACCACCCCATCAGTGCCAGAAGCGCTGTACGTGCTCGAGCGGCTGTACCATCCTCTAGACATCTTTCGTTCTTTTTGTTTTCCCGGTATGTTCTTCGTCCTCGTTCCCTCGATTGGTCGTTCGCAAGCTCTACCATCAATTGATTGCTGCTATACGCGACGACCAGCCCGGTAAGCTTGAATTGAAGCATTCCTGATTGTTTTTTGACGCGTTCTTTCGTTCTTCAGTTTCAGCGACCTTTTTCCTCTTTACCATGGTATTCGTTTGCTATGGTAGCTGGACGGCTTATTTTTCAGCTCCAGGTAAGCTCGGAATGTTTAAATCGCCCCTAGATTTACAGTTTTTTCATTCTTTTCAGTTTTTACAGTTTTTTCGTTACCAATCACTCAATCAACCTCCTACAAACAAACCAAGAGAACTACTGTTCCAGGGAGAGCTTTCTACCATCAGCTCCCAATCCCATCTCAGGATTGTTCATCCGAGGCCTACGGTCCACGTCCTGGTGCTCGCTCCTCTAGATCTTTTGTTCTCTTTCTTTCGTCGCCTTCTTCGTCCTCGCTCTCTCGTTCCGTCGATTGGTCGTTCGCAAGCTCTTCTATCGATTGATTGGCTATAAACGCGACGACCACCCCGGTAAGCCTGACTCTTTGGTTGTGTTTTGACACACGTTCTTCCCTTGGACAGCTCTTTGATCTTGGCCATCATTTTCGTTTCTATTTGTTTTTTCCGTTTTCGAGAGTACGTTACTAAAGAGCAGCTTTTTTCCATCTCATGGCAGCTGGGATGGACCTTCGTCTTCAGCTCCAGGTAAGCTCTTCCGATTTTAAAGCCTCCCGTCGATTTACAGTCTGTCAGATTAGTCAAGTGCTCGCGCCCTCAACGAACCTAAAGAGAGAACTATTGTTCCTGCGAAGGCAAATCGTTCACTCGACCTGCCTCATGATCGAGAGTACTGTTCCTGCGAAGGCAAATCGTTTGTAAGTAGCCATTTACAAATTCGTTTCAAACATTTACAAGGCAGGCCAGTAGCGTGACAATCTCCTCAAACTTGACTGCTTAGTCGTCCAAGTAATAGTAAGACCCGCTAGCCTTTTGCTCACGATCTTTGATGGAGTCGAGCTTGTTGATCCGCGGCCTAAAGTTCGTGGGATCACGCCGGAAGGTGATGTCCAGGTGCTGCGCAAAGCGAAAAAGTGGAATCAAATCAGCCGTGAACGCCTGGAGAAGGAGAGAGAAAACGCTACTCACCGAGAGGAACAGGTTCATCCCCGTGAGGAGACTCTGGGGCGAGTTGGCAACGCACTCCACCGACGGCTTTCCTTCGTAGACGATGACCCTGTCCGCCAAGTACGTTGCCATGATCAAGTCGTGCTCCACCACGAAGGCCGTCTTCTTGGCGTGGAGGATGAAGCGCTTGATCACCTTGCACGCCACGAGTCGCTGCTCCGAGTCCAAGTGAGCGCTGGGCTCGTCGATCAGATAGATGTCCGCGGGCTGCCAAGGCAAATGGTTAGACATGCTACGAGGATAAGTTCAAGGAAAAGCGCTACTACCTTTCCAAGGCAAAGGCAAATAGCAACGCGCTGGCGCTCTCCACCCGATAAGTTGGCAACTTCCCGGTCCATGAGTGCCTCAATCTGGAGAGGCTTCATCACGTCCGTGTTGAATTGAGGATGAAAGCACGAGTCCCGGATCTTGGTGTGCAGCAAATGCCGGACAGTGGACTGGGACTTGGAGTTGACATGTTGTGGCTTGTATGAGATGTTGAACTCGGGAATTTCTTCGGAGTCACGAGAATCGTCGTCGGATTTTAGTAGCCCAGCCTGAGATTGGAAGAAACTTTACAGGTGAAAATGGAAATGACTTTGAAAACTTACCAGCATTCTTATGAAAGTGGTCTTTCCGGTTCCATTCTCCCCGAGCATCACAATAATCTGTGAGTCTGTGAAGTCCCCCTCCTTGATTCGAAGCTTGAAGCTTCCTTGAGTCCTTGACATGGCAGGATACTTATACCGAGTGTACGCCTGGACTTCCTCGCCGCTCTCTTGAGCGCTCTCAGCAACCTTGCATTGACATAATCCCCGTTTTAATTGCAAATTAGCGAAAACAATTCTTACCTTGAATGTGAGGGACACATCACGGAATCGCACATTTTCCGTAGGAATATATCCAGCGAGGAATACGTTTATGCCTTCCCTCACGGAGAAAGGGAGCGTCACAACGCCATAGGCACCGGGCTTCCCGTAGAGGCAGCAAATGTAATCAGACAGATAGTCAAGAACACTCAGGTCATGCTCCACGACGATCACATAGCTGCATTGCAAACTCAAAGTAAGTTGAGGAAAACCAAAAAGGAAAGGAGTGGAAGAAAATTCGTACTTGGTTGGCGTGAGAAGGGACCGAATGACTTGAGCAGCCTTGAGCCTCTGCCGAACATCCAGAAAGCTGGATGGCTCGTCAAACATGTAGACGTCCGCCTTCTGCACGGCCACCTCGGCTATAGCAAAGCGTTGGAGCTCTCCACCGGACAAATCCTCCAGATTTCGGTCCAGGACGTCGATCAAATCAAGATCACAGCAAACATCCTCCATCGCACCTCTTTCATCCTTCCGCGAGAGAGCTTCACCGACGTTGCCTTTGATCACCTTAGGAACTTTGTTCACGTCCTGCGTTTTCGTGACCACCTGAGACAGCAGGCTTCGTTAGGAAATCACTAGAACTAGAGTCCTGTCTCCGTACCTTCAAATTATCTTCTACACATCGCAAGAAGTAGTTCTGGAGTTCCGATCCTCTGAAGTATGTCAAGATCTCTTGCCAGTCCGGAGGATTCTACAAACGTAAAGCTGTCAGCTAGGAACCAAGCAAATAGCACAATAAATACCGCAAAGTTCCCCAAGTTGGGCTTGAGGTATCCGTGAAGAACTTTCAAGGCGGTCGTCTTTCCAATTCCATTCGTCCCAACAAGACCCAAGACCTGGCCTGGCTTTGGAGTAGGAAGCCTGTTTAAGTGAAGTCAGCACCACCACCCACAAGCCATCCACCAAGCAAACCTGTGTAACTTGAAACTGTTCGCTCCATATCGATGTGTGGTTTCTTTGTCCAACTCCCTGGGAAGATTGATGATCTCTATCGCCCGAAATGGACATTTCTGCCACATACAAGATATGAATAGAAGAAAGAAAAAAAAAGGGAAAACGCACTTTCACGCAAATACCACAACCAATGCACAGCTCCTCCGAAATGGACGAGATCTTGGATGCTGACGAGACCTCGACGCACAGCTTCCCTGAAAATTCGAATTCATTCTACCATTCGAGAGAGGAGAAGGAAAACTTGCCTGTTTTCACCACGGGGCAGCTCTTCTTGCACTCTTGGTTGCACTTCTTGGGCTTGCAACGATCGGAGTTGACGACGGCGATCCTAGTGAGACGACTCATTGTTAAAAAGGGAAATGAAGACCTAGTTTCGTAAAACCAGCTTTATACTACTTTGGACGGCTCGATACGCGCTCCAGTGAACGGTTGCGATAGGCCGGAAACCAACGACCCACCCTAAAAGGCTGTTGGGAATCCTTTAGATGGATATACTGAAGCCAAAACAAAATCGACCACTTCCATCTTTATGCTTACACGAGTTGTTTCATTCCAACAGAAATCCGATGATGTTATCAAAGGGTTGATTTTGGACTCGGTACCATAGTCCGTTTTCTATAAGTCATTCCTAGAATTGCTTCATCTATAAACCTTGAGTTCAGTTGAATACCTTTATTCTTCGGCAGCGATGGGAGCCTAGTCTGATATGGTTTTCGATTTTAGGGCTCTTTCTGGATTAGTTTTTGACGAGCCTGCTGGGTTGCAATCTTTCTAGGTTCATTGTGATTCATGAATAATTCCCGTGGTGACATTCATCCACGGGACTGGGGACAAGACATATCTGGTGTGAATTTGTGGTTGCCTCAGGAATTTCGACGACGACGACATGCCTCACCATGACGCCTCTCGATAGATTTCTCTGGAGAGCATCAAGGCCGAGGGCTTGCTCACTGAAAACGGAGGTGGTCAGGCATCTGGCGGCTAGTTCTTCTTGCCGTATGACGAGCCTCACCGGAACGGCAAGGTACCCAAGCTCCTCACGCACAGGATCTTTCCGGCGGTGAAATATAGCATCTGGGTCGATGGAAAGATGGAGCTGGTCGTGGACCCATTTCTCATACTTGAGAGGTTTGGAACCTCCACCGTCTGTCTCACCCTTGTTTCTAACTCGTGTTTCGTTCGTTTGCATAGATATCTCTGGCGAGGCGGGCATAAGTTCGCCATCGCTTGACACAAACACCACAAGAGCATTTACGAAGAGGCCGATGCCAACAAGCGGAGGAAGAGATACACGAGGCCGCTGATAGACAAACATGGAGATCTACAAGCGCGAAGGCATGCAACCATGGAGCAAAGCCAAGCTCCCAGTTCTTAGCGGCCAATTCTTCTTGAGCAAAGTTCACTGTTCTCTCTCTCTCTATTTTTCCAGATGTTCCAGAGGGAGCACTGATCATCCGCGAGCACACTCCACTCACGAACTTGTTCTGCTGCCTGTGGTTCAACGAGGTGAACCGATTCACGCCGCGCGACCAGCTGAGCTTCGGCTACGTTGTCCACCGATTGACCGGCTCCTTCCCCTTGTCATGTTCCCAAACTGCGAGTACAACGCGCTCTTCGTCCTCCACAAGCACACGGGCGAGCACTCGTCCAAGGTGGAATGGGTGAAGACTCCGGACGAGCTCAAGGACGAGAGCATCGCGTTCGAGACGAGGGCGGTCGGGGACGGGCCCGTTGACCGACATGTTGACCAACCGTTGACCAAAAGCCCCGAGCTTGGATTTAGGGCTGACCTGCAATAGGGCATTTTTTTTTTTCTGTGGGATCCAGCTCTCTCCGACAGGCTTTCCAGCGATCGATCGAGCTTGCGATCTTCATGAGGTGACTTTGTAGATTCTCTCTGGGTGATGGGATCTAGTAGCGAGGTCTCGGAGGACATCGAGTGGCACTCCCCGGGAGGAGTGCCAGCGGCGGCTGCGCCATCGCCAGCCCCGCCGGAGGAGGCGAAATTGATCGCGCCCATCAAAGGCAAGCGCAGCTGCGGGATCAGGAAGAGGAATTCGAGCGTGAAAAATCGCAAGGTGGAAGTGGAGGAGGAGGAGCCGGAGGAGAAGAAGTTGAAGAAGGCGGCGCCAAAGCGGAGCTCGACCAGGGATCGCCACACCAAGGTGGAGGGGCGGGGCCGGAGGATCAGGATGCCGGCGGCGTGCGCCGCCAGGATCTTCCAGCTCACGCGGGAGCTGGGCAATAAGTCTGAGGGCGAGACCATCGAGTGGCTGCTCAAGCAGGCGGAACCTTCGATCATCAAGGCCACGGGCACAGGTACCATCCCGGCGCTCGCCTTCTCAGTGGCGGCGCCGCTGGCACTCCGCCAGGCCGCCGCCAATTATGTCGCGCCGATCGCCGTCGCCACCCGCTCCAGCCTGCCGCTGGATTTCGCGGCGCCGCGAGTGGACAACGCTAACGCCACCACCACCACCACCACTACTATCACCACCGAGGGTGGCGGCGGTGGTGGCGGTGGCGGCGATGAGAACTCCAACGAGAGCCATCGAAGGTACGAGTTCCAAGAGAATGGGGACAGTGGATCCATCGGAGACGATCATGGAGAGGGGAACGCCAAGAACTTGCTCACTAGCTTGAAAGATGATCCACCATCTCTCCAATCCAAGCAACAGCAAGCTCTCGACGACCACCACCAGCATGACCAAGAAGAACTCGCGATCCATCACCACCAGCAGCAAATCTCTTGGCCCGTGCCAAACCTGTGGATGCTGCCAGTTCCATCCATGGGTGATCACTCGTGGGCATACACCACTTCCACTTCGTGTCCCTCGAGCTTCTCATCGTCGGCGGCGATGATCCAGCAGCAGCTCCAGCGGATGAATGCGAGCAGCCTGATCGAGCTGGGGCCTCTGGGATCGATGCTGGCGATGCAGCATCACCCGGATCTTTGCGCCCCTGGCAGCGATAACTTCAACCTCTTTGCCGCGACGTACCACCACCATCTCCAACGCCAAACATATGATCCTCACGTTACTTCACGAGACGATAGCGGCTAGCATTGTGATGCTTAAAATCCCCTCCACTTGTAAAACATTTCAACTGTTGTCATCTTGGACGTTCAAATTTTTGGTTTAAGGAATATATAAATATTGATTTTGTAATGTGTTTAAGTTTCTTTTTAGAACATGAGGTAACTTGCCACCTACCATACCAGTAGAATTTTTCTTCTCTGAAAAGTCAGCAGAAGAGTTTTTTCCTCGTTTCATTGCCATTTTGCTACTCTTCTCTCCAGATCATTTTTAGAAATTACATCAATATGAATTGGAATAGGTTGATTTTGAAATGTGACTTTTTAAGATTGCATAAATTTTATTTTGCACTAAAACAAGTATAAATTAATGCTTTTTGGCTTTAAAAATCTATATACCTAGAATATTCAAATATATTTTATGATATTCCTTAGACTTAATATTAATCACTAATGTAAATCATATCATCAAAAGAATTAATGTACACCTAAAGCCATATCCGACGGCTGCCAACGGTTGGATCAGCCACAAATTTCGCTGACTAAAGCGTTAATGGGCATTTGGTCTAGAGGTATGATTCTCGCTTAGGGTGCGAGAGGTCCCGAGTTCAATTCTCGGAATGCCCCATTTGTTACCAGAAGAAGTTCAAGGAGGCTAGGAAAATACCAAACTGTTTATGTTTGTCACCTGACATCATCATCCAGAATAAAATTCCTCGTGACACAAAGTTTTAGAATGGAACGTTCTCTCTATAGCCAGATGCCGCGTTTGATTTCTCCAAACCGGCCCATCTTTTCTGAAGCAGAGAAGCTAGTGCCTACACTAAAACACTAATAGGCAGCGAGTTTGCCTCTCTCAGGGATTTATTTCAACAAAATACGAAATTCCAAAGGAAGAATATGGTTTCTCCCTATTTGGCGGCACAGTCCAGAAGGCCGCAACAAGAGAAAAAATAAAGCAGATTCATACGCTCTCGTGCACGACCAAAAGTCAACAGTCACTATTGACTGAGCAGGCCCTTCCACTTTCACCAGGACGTGGAAACGAGTGAGCGATTGCATTTACACGGGCTTGGGGACGTTCCTGCATGTTGCAATCGAGGCCTTTTCTTGGGCACGAAAGAAACTTGGGCGACGAAACATGGAGCGTTCGTGATGGTAGGGCCAAATTCCTATTGGCATTTCCTAGATCTAGTCCAGAACAACGGCACTTTTTTCGAGACTTTGTATCCATCTGCTGAATAGCTTCCCACTTCGCCTTTATATTTTTAAGGACCGTTCTGGGGACCCAGAGAAGCAGATCACTCGAGGAGGAAACAGCTACTCTAATTTTTTTTTCTTTCTTGCGTCTCAAACGAAACCAGGTGTAGATTTGAGACGAGGAGAGATGGAGAGAACCAATCTCATACTATTGCTGTTCGTTTTTGCACAAGCCATGATCATCGCACAAGCAGGTATATAGTTTTCAAGCGAAATCAATCGATCATATATTGTTTTCTTTTGTTCTAGCCGAGGAGTATGACTACTCGAATGGGACTCGAGGCCAGGCAAACTGGGGAAACTTGAGACAAGAATGGAGGGCTTGCAGCAGCGGCAGAATGCAATCTCCGGTGGACATTCAATCCGAGGAGCTCCAACCAGTGTGCTCTTTGAAGCTGCTCCAGACGAGATACAAACCAACGAATGCCACTCTCACCAATCTCGACCACGACATAGCAGTATGTATCTCCTGAATCCATCTCATCTCCGAAAGATCTCCATCTAATCATGGCTCGGGCCCTCGTTTTTCTTTGCGCAATAGCTCGAGTTTGGCGATTCTTCATCGGGATCGCTCATCATCGATGGCACCTTGTACAGTGTGAGCGAGTATCACATCCATGCTCCCAGCGAGCACACTGTGAATGGGAAGCATCTCGCAGTCGAGGGGCATCTCGTCCACAGGAGTGAAGACAACAGGCTTGCAGTCGTCGCCGTCATGTACACGATTGGATCCGAGGACGACCCATTTATCGATCAGGTAAACAGAGATCTGGGTTTTCTTCGTGATTTCTGAGAATTTTTTTCACTGTCTTTTTGGTAAGGTTGAGCATTTTCTACCTGAGCTGAGTGGCGAGCAAGATGTTCAAGTGGTGGATCCCTCACTGCTCAATGTTGGAGGGAAGCGATTCTTCAGATATGTTGGATCACTGACATCACCGCCCTGCACCGAGCAAGTGACATGGAGCGTGTTGAGAAGAGTAAACAAATTATTTCCTTAATCTTTTGTTTCTTTTCCGCTGACCATGGTTCTGATGTTACAGCCACGAACGATCTCGAAAGCCCAGTACCGGCTTTTGATGAATGCCCTCAATGTAAGAATTAATTCACGCACTAATAAACAGCTTCTAACATTCTGTGTACAGGGTGATAACAACAGATCGATACAAGGCTTGTTTGGAAGAAGAATAAGCTATTATAAATAGAAGATTTGTTTTAGTCCTATTAGGGCACGCGGGTTTTTAACCTAGCAGATGCAGACCAGCTAAATACATCCACATTACCATCTCAAAGTGTTCCAGATTCCAGAACCCGAGAATATTACGCTCTATGTGGAATTGCTTAATAGGCTTCCTAGTGCGTCCTGTCTGCTTGGATCACGTCCATTCCTTCTATGCTTTGATGACTTTTTAAATTCCTTTTAAGCGACTGTGATTGTTAAAAGTGAATATGCTGTGCTGTTCTAAGATTTTTCAAGATTAACTACGAATTGTTTTGCTTGTTCTCCTACAGAAAAAGCTCTTTTGACTCTTATGCCCAGCGTCCTTATTTATTTGATTATCTCATAGGTTAACAATAAATTTATCTTCCTATAATTCTCTTTAGCAAACGTTTAAGTAATTCTTGTAAACATGTTTTTAGATGGTTTTCTTTCATAAACTGATAAAATTAATCAAGCCGTCGATTGATTATTCATTGAACTGCTTGTCCGACAATGGAAGTTACCACTACCCAGAATGATCGACTTCCAAGGAACTCGCATTTCATGGGGTTTCCAAGTTTAATCCGCTCCTCACAGCTCGAGCGTGGTGGAGGCTGAGAGCTTGACAAGCTTTCCTCAAGCGCTTTGATCACTGCCAGATAAGTCACTCAATTCGGAGCAAGGCCCTCGACGTCCGACCAACTCTCCACATAATGGTGGTGTTGCTATGCTTAAGTTGCACTTCAATGACAGGCGTGTAGTGCATTCCGTGGCACCATTCTGTTGTGGATCTCCACCTACATTCATCTTGCAATGGCTAGATAGTGCCTGGCGGCTTCAAATCTCCAGGTCAAAGAAACATCTGGGGAAATAGGCCAGCTGTTTGCGATTGAGGACAAAAGGAGTGATCTCGATTCACATATGAAAACATTACAACGAGTGGTGAGCTGACAGAAAAGAAAGTCTCTTTTCTTTTCCAGATGAGAGCCAAATAGCTATCCCGGACATGTCGGGCCCGACATGTCCGGCCCGAGATATATCGGGTGCCCGACATGTCCGGGGCCGGACATGTTGGGCACCCGGACATCTCAGGCCCCGGACATGTCGGGCAAGCTCTACTTCACAGCGAGAATATGACTTTCACATACTCTAGTATAAAGCATTTTTGTAAGTTACTGAATTCCTCGGAAGTTCTTTTGGTACATGTGTGCCACGAAAGGACAGTTGAAGTCAATTGCAGTTTCCTGTTTGTTTGAGTTGGTGGTGTTTGATCTTATGGGACATTTTCCATGGTCGACTGCTAGTAATAAGTATATTATTATTGCTTTTGACTACTTGACTCGTTAGGTGGAAGTTGGTGCTTTTGCTAATGCCTTTGCAATTACTGTTGGATACTTCCTCCTCAATCGAGTGGTGTTTTAACATTTTTGTCCAGAGCAGATTCTTTCGGATAATGGTCCTACATTTATGGCTAAGACATTTCATGTTTTGACGTCTCGGTTGGGGATACGCCACATTTTCACGAGTGCTTATTATACACAATCGGGCGATCTAGTGGAATAGCTCATTCGGACATTCAAAAAGATGATTGTGAAGTATGTGAACGTTCAGCATTCGGATTGAGATGGTTATTTATTGTCTCTTCGGTATGCAAATGTCACAAGGGTGCAGAGTTCTATTAGTGCTTCACCATATAAACTCTTATATAGTCATGATTTAATATTATCAATAGAGCTAGATTTACCTTCGCAATTGCCACAAGCTGCCGATGCTAGGTCATGGGATTAATATTTAACGAGCATTCTTCCACTTGTCCGAGTAGAGTTTGCAGAACACTTAAGCCACATACAAGTGGAACAACAATGGCGTTACAACTCCCATCATCGTCCACCTATAGAGTACAAAGTGGATAATTTGGTGTTAGTCTATTTTCCCCATCTTATAATACGTGGTTTATCTAAAGGGCTCCTTGCGCAGTGGAAAGGACCGTATGAGGTGTTGCGGCAAGTTGGACCACAAATTTATAAGGTTCAGCATAACATCTAACAGGCTGATCCTCCAGAGATTGTGCATATGCAACAATTAAAACGCTTCATACAAAGAGATTAAAAGCAATTAAGACCATCTATAGATCCACTAATGTCTCATTTTGACATTCCTCTAGATCCCGGCCCATCTACAAGAGAACTCTAATGGTCTTCCATTATTCTGAAAGGAGGGGATGATGTGAGGGCTAAGCGGGATTTTGGTAGCCATCGGATTAGTTTTAATTCGGATACATATTTTCTATATTCCCTTTCCATATATTAATCTAAATGTATATTATAAAATATACTAAAATACCTTAGACAGGTTTTCCTATCAGTGCAACTCAGCATATTCACTCTTAAGGACCACATAAACGTTTGCTCTCGCTTCAAAAAGGAAGGGTAAGGAATTAAAAAGACATGAACTTTTTAGACTTACTCTTGACGATGCTTGCTTGTTTCTCCGTCAACAGAGCATAGACAGATTTCTCATGGCAACCCAAGTAGATAGGATGCACTGGGCCAGGAAGCATATTGAGCAATTCCACATAGGGTGTGATATTCTCAGGCTCTGGAATCAAGAACACTTTGAGATGATGATCTGGATGTCTTTTGAGC